CAGGGGCGACTGCCCAGAGCGTGGAGGGGGCGATCTCTGTTACCTGCCGAGGTAGACGCCGCTACCCTCTGGAAGGCAACAATTGTAGCCATCGGGACGGTACATTGGGACTGCTGCTGTGGCAGGAGAGGTTGCCTTTACCGAAAGGCAACAAAAAATGTTGCCCTTCGGGGGCAATAAGTCGTTCAGCCACATTTTGGGTGCCAAACATGCCTTTTCGATTTACAGTGCGCACCGCCCCCGCGCCGCCCCCCCGCGCCGCCCCCGCAAAGCGTCCAGCCGCGCGCGGCCACCGCGGCCCACCCCCTGCGCTGCAGTGTTTCATGCAATCTCCGTAGTAATATCATCCGACCGACCGTTTTGTTTGTTTTGTTTTTTGTCCTCGGTCGGCCCTTTTTACCCCGCTCCCGCTCGCGTGCGTCTCGCCATCACATCCTCCTCCTATTCTAGCATGCAACCAGACAAGCGGTAGCTAAAGCTACACGCCATTCTTTATATTTCATCCTACCAAAAAATTTTACTTCACAGCCCGCAGCCTTATCGGTGTAAACCTTTTCTATCCCTACTTTTTGAATTTACATAAAACATCCCTTGCCTGGTGATGGTTCTTTGCCACGACGACGTCGACGCGACGCCCTTCCGCTCGTCGTCCGACCGCGAGGAGGACGCCTGCTCCTCCCCCGAACGCCGTCGCCGCCGACTAGACCTACACCCTCCACAACACCTTTATCAAGATAACGCCGCCGAATGGAAAAGAATGCGCGGTGTGAAGCTAGTTAGCCTAGGCCTCAGGAAACGTTGTCGCTCCCTCTTGTGTGTGTGTGTGTGTGTGTGTGTGTGTGTGTGTGTGTGTGTGTGTGTGTGTGTGTGTGTGTGTGTGTGTGTGTGTGTGCCCGGTGAGCCCCCTTTAGGGCGCCCGGGGGCCCCCACCGTGGGCCCCACGACCGCCGCCGCCCCCTCGTTATCTCCGTCATATCAAAGGTGCTATAGTTTCCTGTGGTAAACAAGGGGGTCGCTGTATTGTCCCCCCGGGCGACGCGCCGCGCGCCGCTTTGATTTTGATTTGCATAATGGATTCTATTCCCCGGGCGCACCGTGGTGGGAATTTCGGCGGCCGCACGACGGCCTGACCGCGCGAAACACACGCGAGCCGTGCTGCGCCATATGCCACGTGAGGTCTGCGATTGAGTTCGGCCGTGGGGGAGAGAGAGGTGACTGGGAGAGTAGAATCGAGAGAAACAGAGCAGAAATAGACAGAAGAGAGAATTGATTTCAGAATTTTAGAATTTCGGAGAGAGAGAGAGAGAGACAGTCAGGCGTGCTCTCTTTCTCCCTCGCTCTGCTCCTCTTACCACCCCCTCCCTTGTGCACAGCTGCCGCTCCCAGCCGGAAGCTGCTCGAGCGGCGGCAGCAGCAGCAGCAGCAGTAGTCCAGTCAACGAAATGAAAATACCGCCCGAACCTTACGGAAATTATACCAAAACGTTTTTTTGCAGATTCCGGTAGAGTGACCCTTGATGAACCCCCATAATAAAGTTTACCTCGAATTTCGACCGGGAACCCATTTTTTTT